CCCCCTCCCCACCCCCCCCCCCCCCCCCCATCCCAGCTCCTGACCTGACCTGAGGTGCTGTTTTTACTTGTGCTGTGGTTCATTCTTTAACTGTGCTGTGACCCTCAGAGCGAGGAGGACGAGCCTGACGTGGACAGTGACTTTGACGACGGCAGCATGAACAGCGTGTCGGTGTCTGAGGGATCCAACAGTCGCAGCAGCCGCTCCAAGAAGAAGCCCGCTAAGAGCAAACCCAAGAAGAAGAAAGGTGTGAGCTCAGGTTTCTCTGGACGTGAAGTGGGAGTGGTGACAAGAACAAGTTCTGGTTCTGTTTCCTGTGTGTGTGATACTGATGTTGTCGCTACCGTTAGTGCAGCGACGACCTGTCTGTGGACTAAACAGTGGGAGGCGCGTGCACGTGCACATGCACTGACAGTCACAGCAGTCAGTGTGAGTGAGTCAGCACACAGTCACCATGTTTGTCCTCCAGTGTAGGCCGAGTCACATGATCACGGTGTCGAGCTGCAGGCGTTCTAACGTCTCAGTTCCTCTGGGGGGCGATGGTGTGACCTCCTGCCCAGAGTCTGTCGGTGGTTCTGGACACGTGATTCATCCTCGTGGACGTCCTCGGGTCCAGGGGTCTCATGTACTGAACGTGCGTAAATTTCATCGTGAAAAAGGGGGTACGCAAAAATCCAGAGTCGGTCGTAGGAAAAATCCTGATGACCCAAGTACATTTCATACATCCCAACGTGGCGTTGAGCGCACATGAGGAATTACCACACCACGCTCCCTACCTACGTTAAAATATGTGCATATACATTTGAAAAGGCAGTGGATCACATGATCTGCAGGTGACATCATCAGGAGGAACTGTAGGTCCTAGTCAGAGAAGAGGTGAGGTGTGTGTTTTTGAAAAGGATAGGGTTACACAAGGTTTGACACGAGGCTCCGCCCATTTCTACGATCATTTCAGTTTTGATACATCTGAACGTGAACGCGGAACAGGGCGTGAGCAACTTCGGTACATCAGACCCCAGGTCTTCACACCAGAAGTCAGACGTTTTCTTTTTCATCTGTCTCAGAAGCAGAGGACGGGGACGGCTACGAGACGGACCACCAAGACTACTGCGAGGTGTGTCAGCAGGGGGGGGAGATCATCCTGTGTGACACCTGCCCCAGAGCCTACCACATGGTCTGTCTGGACCCCGACATGGAGAAGGCACCGGAGGGAACCTGGAGCTGCCCACACTGTGTAGGAGTCACCTCTGTTCACACTGTAGTTCACACTGTAGTTTACGTCTGTTCACGCTGTAGTTTACGCTGTAGTTCACGCTGTGGTTCTCTCTGTAGTTCACGCTCTAGTTCACTCTGTAGTTCACACTGCGGTTCACGCTGTAGTTTACGCTGTAGTTCACGTTGTAGTTCACTCTGTAGTTCACTCTGTGGTTCACACTGGAGTTCACGCTGTGGTTCACGTTGTAGTTCACTCTGTAGTTCTCGCTGTGGTTCACGCTGTTGTTCACTCTGTAGTTCTCGCTGTAGTTCACGCTGTGGTTCTCTCTGTAGTTCACGCTGTAGTTTACGCTGTAGTTCACGTTGTAGTTCACTCTGTGGTTCACACTGGAGTTCACGCTGTGGTTCACTCTGTTGTTCACTCTGTAGTTCACTCTGTGGTTCACACTGTAGTTCACACTGCGGTTCACGCTGTAGTTTACGCTGTAGTTCACGCTGTGGTTCACGCTGTTGTTCACTCTGTAGTTCACGCTGTGGTTCACGCTGTAGTTTACGCTGTAGTTCACGTTGTAGTTCACTCTGTAGTTCGCTCTGTAGTTCTCGCTGTAGTTCTCTCTGTAGTTCACGCTGTAGTTTACGCTGTAGTTCACGTTGTAGTTCACACTGTGTAGGAGGCACCTCTGTTCACACTGTAGTTCACTCTGTAGTTCGCTCTGTAGTTCTCGCTGTGGTTCACGCTGTAGTTTACGCTGTAGTTCACGTTGTAGTTCACTCTGTAGTTCTCGCTGTAGTTCTCTCTGTAGTTCACGCTCTAGTTCACTCTGTAGTTCACGCTGTAGTTTACGCTGTAGTTCACGCTGTAGTTTACGCTGTAGTTCACGCTGTAGTTTACGCTGTAGTTCACGTTGTAGTTCACTCTGTAGTTCCCACTGTGGTTCACGTTGTAGTTCACACTGTAGTTTACGTCTGTTCACGCTGTAGTTTACGCTGTAGTTCACGTTGTAGTTCACACTGTGGTTCTCGCTGTAGTTCACGCTGTAGTTTACGCTGTAGTTCACGCTGTGGTTCTCTCTGTAGTTCACACTGCGGTTCACGCTGTAGTTTACGCTGTAGTTCACGCTGTGGTTCACGCTGTTGTTCACTCTGTAGTTCTCGCTGTAGTTCTCTCTGTAGTTCACGCTCTAGTTCACTCTGTAGTTCCCACTGTGGTTCACGTTGTAGTTCACTCTGTGGTTCACACTGGAGTTCACGCTGTGGTTCACTCTGTTGTTCACTCTGTAGTTCTCGCTGTGGTTCACGCTGTTGTTCACTCTGTAGTTCTCGCTGTGGTTCACGCTGTTGTTCACTCTGTAGTTCTCGCTGTAGTTCACGCTGTAGTTTACGCTGTAGTTCACGTTGTAGTTCACTCTGTAGTTCTCGCTGTGGTTCACGCTGTGGTTCTCTCTGTAGTTCACGCTCTAGTTCACTCTGTAGTTCACGCTCTAGTTCACTCTGTAGTTCCCACTGTGGTTCACGTTGTAGTTCACACTGTAGTCCACACTGTAGTTCACACTGCGGTTCACGCTGTAGTTTACGCTGTAGTTCACGTTGTAGTTCACTCTGTAGTTCTCGCTGTGGTTCACGCTGTGGTTCTCTCTGTAGTTCACACTGCGGTTCACGCTGTAGTTTACGCTGTAGTTCACGCTGTAGTTCACACCTGACTCTGCACAGTGTGAAAAGTCCCGTTCACTAGAGCAACAACCATGGTCTGTTTCTGTCCTCGTGTCCAGGAGAAGGAGGGCATCCAATGGGAGGCCAGGGAGGAGGCCTCCGAGGGGGAGGAGGACAACGGTGAGGCCGGAGAGACGGAGGAGGACGACCACCACATGGAGTTCTGTCGCGTCTGTAAAGACGGAGGTGAACTGCTGTGCTGTGACTCCTGTCCGTCCTCGTACCACATCCACTGTCTCAACCCACCGCTGCCCGAGATTCCCAACGGAGAGTGGATCTGTCCGCGCTGCACGGTGGGTCAACATCAGGCGCCTTCAGAACCTCGGCCCAGGGCTTACATTCAGGGAGCAGTTGAAATATAAAAATCTGCTTCTCCTCCTCCTCCTCCTCCAGTGTCCGTCCATGAAGGGGAAGGTCCAGAAGATCCTCACCTGGCGCTGGGGAGATCCTCCTCCTCCAACGCCTGTCCCCCGACCTCCTGATCTTCCTGCCGACACTCCTGACCCCGCCCCGCTGGCAGGGCGACCGGAGAGGGAGTTCTTTGCCAAGTGGTCCAACATGTCGTACTGGCACTGTTCCTGGGTCACAGAGCTTCAGGTACCTGACGAGAAACCACGGCTGTGAGGGCGAGAGAAAGAGCAACTGTTCATGTTGTGCCCTCTCCTCTGTCCTCCTTTAGTTGGAGCTCCACTGCCAGGTGATGTTCAGGAACTACCAGAGGAAGAACGACATGGACGAGCCTCCGCCCATTGACTTTGGAGAAGGAGAGGAGGACAAGAGCGTGAAGAGGAAGAACAAGGATCCCATGTACGCTCGGCTGGAGGAGAAGTACCTGCGCTTTGGCATTAAGATGGAGTGGCTGATGATCCACCGCATCCTCAACCACAGGTGGGTTCTGTGAGCGCCCCCTACCTGAGAGCTAGTCAGTAAATGTTAATTATGGGATCTTCACCGAGGCAGAGTGGTGGCTTAGTGGTCAAGGAAGCGCACTTTGGTCAGGAAGGTTTCAGGTTCGAGTCCACCAGCTGCCAAGTCACCACTCCGGTGCTCTGAGCAAGGCACTGTGGGGCTTAACGCTGCCCCCTGCTGACTGTGGTGATGGGTTAACAGCAGAGGTCACATTTGGATGTGTGCTGTGGTGCAGTGGTGCAGTGAAGGTCCGTCTCTTAGATGTAACTTCTGTCACTCAGTGTTGTCTTCTCTGTTGTGTCTCAGCGTGGACAGGAAGAACAACGTTCACTACCTGATCAAGTGGAGGGAGCTGGCCTACGACCAGGCCACCTGGGAGGCCGAGGACATGGACGTACCAGAGTTTGACACCTACAAGCAGCAGTACTGGAACCACAGGTGAGTGGACTGTCAGGCACACGTACTGTTACACAGCTCAGCTGTCTCTGATTGGCTGTGTGTGTGTTCCAGAGAGCTGATGATGGGAGAGGAGGGACGACCGGGAAAGAAGATCAAAGTGAAAGGACGAGTGAAACGTCCAGAGAGGCCTCCAGAGAACCCTGTCATTGACGTGAGATTGATGTGACCTCTTTAGTCTGGAACATTGGAATCCTCCCCCTGACACACCAGAGTCTACAGAATAAATGCTCATTTTCTCTGTGCACTCTGGCGTGGCAGGGTGTGTGTGTGTGTGTGTGTGTGTGTGTGTGTGTAATCTCACCCTGATCTACTGATCGTTCCTTTGTTTTTTGTTGGTTTTAGCCGACCATAAAGTTTGAGCGTCAGCCGGAGTATCTGGACAGCACAGGTGGAACCCTGCACCCGTATCAGCTGGAGGGTCTGAACTGGCTCAGGTTCTCCTGGGCGCAGGGAACAGACACCATCCTGGCTGACGAGATGGGTCTGGGCAAGACGGTGCAGACGGCCGTCTTTCTCTACTCGCTGTACAAAGAGGTGCCTTGTCAAATAATTCACCAATATTTCAGTGAAGTCGAAGTTTCTGTTTTTAGAGCTTTAATTATTAGCTATTGTTTTTAATTTCAACACTTCTGCTGCCACAGCATGTCATTAAGACTGCACTGTTTCACACCTGTGGAACACACTCATCTTATCATCTATCTTATTGTATGGTTAATCTTTCATGAAAAGGCTCATTGCTGCCCCCTGGTGGCCATATACCGTCCGACGCCTGAGATCTATCTCTTGAAACCGTCAGTAAAGGAGTGAACATGTGACTTGGTCTTTACTGAACCCCCTTCTGGTCTCCCACCTCTCAGGGTCACTCCAAGGGTCCCTTCCTGGTCAGCGCTCCCCTCTCCACGATAATCAACTGGGAGAGGGAGTTTGAGATGTGGGCCCCCGACATGTACGTGGTGACGTACGTTGGCGACAAAGACAGCAGAGCCGTGATCAGAGAAAATGAGTTCTCATTTGAGGACAACGCCATCAGAGGGGGGAAGAAGGCATCAAGGATGAAGGTCAGACTCTGAGGTCNGGGGGGGGGTGGAGGGGTGTGGTTTTGGGGGTCACCAACACTGTGCCCGGGGTCACATTTAACACACAGTGCTAAATATGCGTTTGTTTTAAATTCAACACCACCTACAGGTCAGAGAAGGAACAGACGGCCCCTTTAACTGTATATTTGATGAAGTTGGTCTCATGTTGGTGTCTGGATGTTCTCCAACAGAAAGACTCGTCCATCAAGTTCCACGTCCTGCTCACGTCGTACGAGCTGATCACCATCGACATGGCCATCCTGGGCTCCATCGACTGGGCCTGTCTGGTGGTGGATGAAGCCCACAGGCTGAAGAACAACCAGTCCAAGGTACAGGCGTCCACACGCAGTTCTTCTCCTGTGGAGTCACACGGTGACTTCAGCCCAGTCAACGTCTGGTTCCTCTGTTCCCACAGTTTTTCCGTGTGTTGAACAACTACCCGCTGCAGCACAAGCTGCTCCTGACGGGAACTCCTCTGCAGAACAACCTGGAGGAGCTCTTCCACCTGCTCAACTTCCTGACCCCGGAGAGGTTTAAGTAGGTGCAGCACAGCTGACGGCCGCCGCTGCCTTGCTCCTCCCCCCAGTGCTCCTCTGACTCCTCTCTGTCTCCTCAGTAAACTGGAGGTCTTCCTGGAGGAGTTTGCGGACATCGCCAAGGAGGATCAGATCAAGAAGCTCCACGACATGTTGGGTCCACACATGCTGAGGAGACTGAAGGCCGACGTCTTCAAACACATGCCATCAAAGACGGAGCTGATCGTCAGGGTGGAGCTCAGTCCCATGCAGAAGTCAGTCCCTGCACTTTGATACTTGTGTTGACCTTTGACCTACTGTGATTAGCGTTTGAGCGACACACCAGGAAAGTCACAGCTGCTGGTCCACTGCTGCCTCCTGTGGTCACTTGGTGTGGGACAGAGAGAGAGAGGGAGAGAAAAAAACCCCCACCAAAGTCAGTGTTTGACGCGTGTGAATTATCTCGGTCTCTTCTCTGTAGAAAATACTACAAATTCATCCTGACTAAGAACTTCGAGGCCCTGAACACCAAGGGAGGAGGAAACCAGGTTTCTCTGCTCAACGTGGTGATGGACCTGAAGAAGTGCTGCAACCATCCGTACCTGTTTCCTGGTGCTGCCATGGTACCAGAACTACCACCCTGCTGCTGTGAGCCTGGTCTCCTTCAGAGAAGAACTCTGACGTGGATGTTTGATTGTCTTCTTCCCACAGGAAGCCCCAAAGATGCCCAACGGCATGTATGACGGCAGCGCTCTCACCAAGGCTTCTGGGAAACTGCTGCTGCTTCAGAAGATGATGAGGAAGCTGAAGGAGGGGGGGCACAGAGTCCTGGTCTTCTCTCAGGTGGACACCAGCGTCCTGAAACACTGAACCTTTACCAGGGCCAAGTCCCGGTCTTTGACCCCACTGTCTCCTCTGTGCTCCAGATGACCAAGATGTTGGACCTTTTGGAGGACTTCCTGGAGAATGAGGGCTACAAGTACGAGAGGATCGACGGAGGAATCACTGGAGGGATGAGACAGGAGGCCATCGATCGCTTCAACGGTGAGTCACTCAGACAGTCACAGTAGACCTGTAGGAGCAGTAGACCACCAGAACATCTGATCGGAACATCTCCTCCTCTCAGCTCCTGGTGCTCAGCAGTTCGCCTTCTTGCTCTCCACGAGGGCTGGAGGTCTGGGCATCAACCTGGCCACCGCCGACACCGTGGTCATCTACGACTCCGACTGGAATCCTCACAACGACATCCAGGTACCAGACGTTCCACCTTCAGAACCAGCATTTGTGCCTTGTCCCTGGTGTTGTGTCAACATGTCCGTCCTCTGTCTGCAGGCCTTCAGCAGAGCTCATCGTATCGGTCAGAACAAGAAGGTGATGATCTACCGCTTCGTCACCAAGGCCTCGGTGGAGGAGAGGATCACTCAGGTACAGGAGAAGTCACCTCCTCAAATCCAGGAGGATCCAGGCTCCCGAGCTGACCTCTCCCACTTCTACTCTGTGTCCAGGTGGCCAAGAAGAAGATGATGTTGACCCACCTGGTGGTCAGACCTGGTCTGGGCTCCAAGACGGGTTCTATGTCCAAACAAGAACTGGACGACATCCTGAAGTTTGGAACAGAGGAGCTGTTTAAAGACGAAGGAGAAGGTGAGAAGGAGGAAGACCGAGGACGGAGCTCAACGTTAGCGACAAGCTAAATGTCAGCCTGCTAAATGAGGACCTGTTTTGTACGGAACCCTAACTTCATGTCACAGACGATCGTGAAGTCATTCAAACATTTGAAGGGACCGTTAATCCGCACATGACAGCGCCCCCCTGTGTCTGTGGACTAGTGCTGCAGGGGGTTCAGACGGTGGCGGTGTTCTCTGTCACAGCTGTCACCACTGTCTTCCTCAGGTGAGAACAAAGAGGAGGACAGCAGCATCATTCACTACGACGACAAGGCCATCGACCGTCTACTGGACCGGAACCAGGACGCCACCGACGACACGGAGCTGCAGAGCATGAACGAGTACCTGAGCTCCTTCAAGGTGGCTCAGTACGTGGTCAAAGACGAGGAGGAGGAGGTGAGTTGAGGAGGGGAGTTCTCTCTCTGTCTGTCCCTGCTCTCTCACACACACACACACACACACACACCACTGACCATCTGTGACCTGCAGGAGGAGGAGGTGCAGCGGGAGATCATCAAACAGGAGGAGAGCGTGGATCCAGATTACTGGGAGAAGCTGCTGCGTCATCACTACGAGCAGCAGCAAGAAGACCTGGCCCGGAACCTGGGCAAAGGAAAACGCATCCGAAAACAGGTCAACTACAACGACGGCTCACAGGAGGACAGAGGTGAGGCCAGGGGGCGATCTTCAGGTGATGACTGACCTCCTGCAGGAGAAACTCCTGTCTCTTCATCATTTCTGTTCTTTTTCTCTGACGTTACGCTGGAGTTGCTAACTTTTAACAACGTTTGTTAGCACATCACTGACCGTAACATTCAAATCCATTCTCCGACAGCCGACTGGCAGGACGACCAATCTGACGGCCAATCAGACTACTCTGTGGCCTCGGAGGAGGGAGACGAAGACTTTGACGAGCGGACAGAAGGTGAGAGTTTTTTCATCAAATCATTTCTGTCCGAAGGAAGTCACACGCCCGGAATCTTCACTTTCATTTCCTGTCTCTGCAGCCAACTCTCGCAGGCCCAACAGGAAGGGCCTGAGGAACGACAAAGATAAGCCACTGCCCCCCCTGCTGGCCAGGGTGGGAGGCAACATTGAGGTGAGCAGCAGATCAGACCGCCAGCCTCATTTTTAACACCACTTCCTGTTTCTAAGGTTGATTTATTCATTTGCTCTTTTTTCTTTTCTTTTCCTCTCCCAGGTTTTGGGCTTTAACTCCCGGCAGAGGAAGGCCTTCCTGAATGCAGTGATGCGTTATGGGATGCCTCCACAGGATGCCTTCACCACCCAGTGGCTGGTGAGAGACCTGCGGGGGAAATCGGAGAAAGAGTTCAAGTAAGAAACTGACGATGGAGTCTCTGAACTCAGTCCATCCGGACCACACCTGTGTGTAGTACGGCCCGCGGGCCACATCTGGTCCTCTGACTGTCCCTGAGTTAAATCAAAGGTTTATTTCACTGTGCACAGCTGAGGGGCTTTTATTTTGAAGGAAGCTCTTGGTTTTGTCTGTACTTGACGTCCGTCCAGGCGCTGACCTTGAGCTCCTCTCCCCCCCTAACCCTCCTCCTCCCCTCCCCCCAGGGCCTACGTGTCTCTGTTCATGCGTCACCTGTGTGAACCCGGAGCCGACGGCGCCGAGACGTTTGCTGACGGCGTCCCCAGAGAAGGGCTGTCCAGACAGCACGTCCTGACACGTATTGGTGTGATGTCGCTGATCCGTAAGAAGGTAACAAAATAACCGTGTCTGTTGTGGGCGGGGTCAGCTGACCTGTGGGGGTGGTGTTGATGACTGACAGGAAGTGACCGCCTGTGTTCCCAGGTTCAGGAGTTTGAGCACGTGAACGGTCAGTGGTCCATGCCCTGGATGGCTGAGCTAGAGGAGAACAAGAGGGCGGCGGCCCAGCCCGACTCGCCCGGAAAAACGCCCTCTACTGGGACGCCCGCAGACACGCAGCCCAACACGCCGGCTCCAGGTAACGCGAGCCCACACTGTCACATTAACGCAGGGTCGGGGGTGAAGACAGAAAACACGCCAACGTTGGTCTGTCTCTGTAGTGGACGACTCCAAGAACGACGACGCGCTGAAGGACGGCGAGAAGGAGGCGAGAAAAGACGGCGAGGTGGAGAAGAACGGCAGAGAGCCTGTGAAGAACTCCACCACTGAGGTAAGGGTGAGGAGATGTGGAGGTGGAGGGGGGTCCTCACCCAGAGACCAGGTCTGGACCTGACCTTTTGTCCCCTTCAGGTCATCTCCATCCCCGACGATGACGAGAAGAGTCCGTCAGAGCAGCAGGAGGAGAAGAAGAACGGAGAAGAGCCCATGGAGACGGACAAACCCAGCAACGGAGAAGCTGAGAATGGAGAGAAGGAGAAGGATGGAGAGGGTGAGAAGAAGAGTCCAGGGGCTGAGGAGGAGGACAAGTCACCTCCAGAAACAAAGACGGAGACATCTGAGGTCAAAGCAGAGGAGCCGGAGGTCAAAGGTCAGTTGACCCTGCTGCACAAACATTTGTGTAGATTTATGTACTTCCTGTTTCTGATGTTGTTTCTTTGTTTCCATCAGAAGAGAAGAAAGAAGAGAAGATGGACGCCACCCCGGCCGCTGAAGATAAAAAAGGTCTTCATCTCCGTCCTTGGCCAGGTCCAGGTCCAGGTCCTCTGCTTTATTCACATCACCTCATCACCCCCCTGTTTTCCTCTCCACAGATCTGAAGGAGGAGAAGGAGGAGCGGAAGAACGAGGAGGTGTCCACAAAACTACAGAACGGAGACGGTGGTAAAGACGGCGCCGCCTCAGCAGCCAGCAGCGAGGAGAAGAAGAAGGCCAAGAGCAGGTTCATGTTCAACATCGCCGACGGAGGATTCACAGGTACTGACGTCCTCCTGAACAGTTCCTGGACTCTCAGAAAGTCCTGTGTAGTTTTTGATCCCTGCAGGAACTGGGAGCTGGTTCCTGATTAACTTCCTGGTTCTTGTAAATGTTCCTAGTTGTACTAGTAGTACTCTTTACTGACCTCTGAATATTTCTGTTCCCAGAACTCCACTCTCTGTGGCAGAACGAGGAGCGCGCTGCCACGGTAACCAAGAAAACCAACGAGATCTGGCACCGTCGCCATGACTACTGGCTGCTGGCTGGAATCATCCAGTATCCTTGACACCACCTGACCAATCAGAGCAGAGCTTGATTATTGTGATGTTTAACCTCTGGTCCAAGAACCAGATCAGTCCGAGGTTAAACTGTTAAATGTTCATGATCTGAATGTAGCGACCTTAACAGCGCCCCCATCAGACACGGCTACGCTCGCTGGCAGGACATTCAGAACGACGTGAAGTTCGCGATCCTCAACGAACCCTTCAAAGGAGAGATGAATCGAGGGAACTTCCTGGAAATCAAGAACAAGTTTCTGGCGAGAAGGTTCAAGGTACGACACAGGAGGAACTTCTCAGTAGCTCCATCTGCTGGTTTAGTTTTTTTGTTTTTTTTTTTTTAAATAAAATCTCTCTCTCTGTCTGTCTCTGTCCTCCAGCTGTTAGAACAGGCCCTGGTGATCGAGGAGCAGCTCCGTAGAGCTGCCTACCTCAACATGTCTGAAGACCCCTCCCACCCCTCCATGGCTCTGAACACCCGCTTCAGTGAGGTGGAGTGTTTGGCTGAGTCTCACCAACACCTCAGTAAAGAGTCCATGTCTGGAAACAAACCTGCCAACGCTGTGCTGCACAAAGGTGAGGAGCAGGAGGAGGAGGAGGAGGAGGAGCAGGAGCAGGAGGCCACAACTGTCCATCTGACCTCTGACCCTCTCTGTCTGAATGTCTCCAGTGTTGAAACAGTTGGAGGAACTCCTCAGTGACATGAAGGCTGATGTCACTCGTCTCCCAGCAACCATTGCCAGGATACCACCGGTTGCCGTCCGGTTGCAGATGTCGGAGAGAAACATCCTGAGTCGACTTGCGAGTCGAGGTCCAGAGACACAGACACAGCAGCAGGTAAGAGCCGCAGGGCAACAGAGCCGCAGGGCAACAGAGCCGCAGGGCAACAGAGCCGCGCAACAGAGCCCCACAGGCCAACAGAGCCGCAGTGCAACAGAGCCAAAATCCTGCACACACAGGTACACACACACAGAGGTTAAAAGGTCAAATCTCAGTAGAAGAACAGGTTGGAGACAAAACAGTTCTGATCGGTACCGACTGTCAGCGCAGTGATTAGTGATAATGAGAGTGGTGCATTGTGGGTATTGAACTGATGTGAACCCTGTTTCCTGCTCAGATGTCACAGCAGTAGACTGAAAGTCGTCTCGTTACCTCGGGAACCGCCCCCTGCCTCACAGCCACATTCCTGATTGGTGCACAGCAGAACGACAGACCAAGCTTGAAGCCACGCCCACTCAACTGCCCCGCCCTCTGATCTTAAACAGACTTTTTTCTGGACGTTTGAATTCCCGCCCGTGTCTCACCTTTGACCCTTATGTTGAAGGTCGTGGGCAGAAAAGCGATTATTCCTTTTTCTTTTTTGAATTTCTGTATTAATATTATTGTTATAATGTTATTATGTTTTTGAACCTAAATAAAAAAAAAAAGTTTCTCATGTCAATGTTGGCGTCACCGCAACCTCAACCACATCGGTCTGTAAACCAGCTCTACAAAGTCTCCACCAGGGGGCACAGTTTGGATGTTGCAGGATCAGATCTGTAGAACAACAGTGTTGGAGCAGGTCACGGGCCAGGTCACCATCCCGCCCCCTGGTGGCAGACAGGGGACTTACTGTGTTAGTAAGCCAGTCTGGACCAATGACGGTTTTTGATTAGACTTTGGGTCAACGTCACCAGAACAAATGTGAGTTTTTATTTTTGAAAAAAAGTCTTTGAAAATGAATAAACACACACACACACACGCGGTGTGAAGACCAGACTGACGTTTTAGTCACAGGAAGTGAAGAGATGGAAAGAAGCTGTTGCTGTTGAAATTTAAACCTTGCTGTGTCTGTGATGCTTGTGTTGGACACCAGGGGGCAGCAGCCAAAGTCAAACTATCTCAATAACTACCAAGCTCATTGACCAACTACGTCTATAACTTTGACTTCACTCGTCTTCTTGTCTTGTCCTTCCTCTCTTCTGCTAACGTTTGACCCTGACGGCAGTGAAAACGTTATCGTACGTTGATATCCTGATTGACACGGTCAAATCCATGTACCCTGACCTTTGACCCCTTAATGGAAAAATGGCCCACAGACCACAGGTTTGATCTCCTAACAGTGCCCGAGGATCAAAGACAGACGACACAGATGGTTTGTGTTCAGGTTCGACTTAAATCTGTGTTCACTTTTATTTTCACTGCTTTGTTGATGAAACGTGTGTGTGTGTGTGTGTGCGTGCGTGCGTGCGTGCGCGTGTGCGTGCGTGAGTGTGCGTGTGTGTCAGGCTTTTCTCCGGAGGAGGGGAGGAGCCGCAGTCTTAAGGTTGTAGTTTGATCGGTTCTTGTCCGTCTCAGGTGTTAGAGCTGGATTCTTCGTCTCTCCTTCTTCAGTGTCCACATCATTCACCATCAGAGACACACGAGGAGGAGACTCCCTGTGAGTGAGGAGGAGGCGCACATGTGAGTGAGGAGGAGGCGCACATGTGAGTGAGGAGGAGGCGCACATGTGAGTGAGGAGGAGGCGCACATGTGAGTGAGGAGGAGACTCCCTGTGAGTGAGGAGGAGGCGCACATGTGAGTGAGGAGGAGGCGCACATGTGAGTGAGGAGGAGACGCACATGTGACATGTGAGCACCAATCAGATCAGGGTTTCAAATCAGTCGTTAACCAGGTTAGTAAAAACACAGACAAGGTTTCAAACAACAACAACTGCTGTCTGTTACCTGTCCCCCTGGGACATCATCAGTGTGTGTGTGTGTGTGTGTGTGTGTGTCTCACCTGTCCCCCTGGGACATCATCAGTCTGTGTGTGTGTCTCACCTGTCCCCCTGGGACATCATCAGTCTCCTGCAGGTCTCCATCTGGACGTCCAGTCCTCTCTTCATGGAACACATCTCCATGTACTCGTGCAGGTGTCGGTTCATGTCACTCTTGGCTGTCGCCAGGTCCAGCTGAACACAGACATGTTTGAGAACACACACACACACACACACACACAGACAGACAGACAGACAGACAGACAGATAGGTGTGACCTCTGACCTCAATCTGGTTGATGGTGTCCTGATAGTCTCTCTCTCTGGTTTTGAACAGAGTCTCTGTGTCACTGATCACCTTCTCAATGGACTCTTCATGCTGCTGTCAGAGAGAGAGAGAGAGAGAGAGAGAGACACTAGGTCAACATGGACATAATGGTTAATGATTTCAACTATGTCACCTTCTCTGTAGGAGGAAGAGGAGGTGCAGGAGGAGGAGCTTCTGATTGTAAGTTACTAATTAGTTCTTAACCCAGACTTAACTAGTTTGTTGTCAGCCTGGCTCATGACCTAATGGTTATAACTGGTCACCTGACCATCAGCGCTGATGATGTCATGATCTAACGGTCAGCTGTAAACACCTTTGATCTGGAGAAGTGGAATTTAAAACAACATTCAAGGATACAGTACTAGTCCATGGACCAGGTACCAGTATCTAGTCCCGACCCTGGACTAGTACAGATACAGTACTAGTCCATGGACCAGGTACCAGTATCTAGTCCAGACCCTGGACTAGTACAGATACAGTACTAGTCCATGGACCAGGTACCAGTGTCTAGTCCAGACCCTGGACTAGTACAGATACAGTACTAGTCCATCACCCAGTTATGGTCACAGATACTTTTCTGGTCTGATGAAAATCTTCTGTTCTGTACACGTGCACGAGCATGAGCACATGCACGTGCGTGTGCACGTACCTCTTCAAGTGTTTCTGCTGCCTGTGAGTTTCCAGAAAAATCCTCCCACAGAAGAAGAGTTTCTTCAGTTTCCTCCCAGACCAGACTGTCGCTGTCGTCGTCGAACTCACTGCTGGACACACACACACACACACACACATACACACACACACATACATCAAGTGTGTTGACGTCAGTTGACGTCTGTGACTGACTGGGTCACTCACAGCTGGTGGAACATCTTGTTCGTCTGCTCGTTGATCTGATTGGTGGATGTGCTGGTGCCACATGACTCCTCCTCTCTGGCCCCGCCTCCATCGCTCTCAGACACGCTCAGTTCGTCTCCCTCTCTGAACGACAGAGTGCTGGGTTTCCTGACGCGGAGGTTGAGGGTGGCGGGGGGCGTGGCCACCTGAAGACAGAGGCGTGGTTAATGACGTCATCATATGTGAAGGTCTGGTTCTGGTTCTGGTTCTGGTTCTGACCGGGAAGATGTCGATGGTCTCCTGGCAGTTCCGCTGCTGGGCCACGTCACAGAGGCGAGCGGTGATGTCGATGCGGCGGCAGATGTCCATGTCCACCGTCATGGCCTTCTCCTGGATCTTGGTCTCCAGGTCGGACAGGTTCTGGAGGAGACAGCGGTGCAGAGTCACCACATGCTAACGGTGACGTGCTAACAACGGGTCAGCGCTCAGCGGCGTGATCTGATTGGAGCAGAAACACACTGACGTTGCTGACGAGGCCTTTGAAGAGAACGAGCTCCGCCCTCAGCTGCTTCAGCCGCAGCGTCAGCTCGTCCTGACACACTTCACTCTCCTGCAGCTCCTGGGAAACACAGACGGGAAGAGCTTCAACCTCTGACCTTTGACCTCCGTCTATGTTTCCTGTTGTGTTCTGATGATGTCACCTCCTCCAGCTCCATCAGTCGGTCCTGCAGCTCCAGCCTGGCCGTGAGCTCCTCCTCCCATCTACACACACACACACACACACACACACACAGACAGGTCCTGATCAGAGTGTGTGTGTGTGTGTGTGGCCTCACGGGTCAGTCCTCACTTCTCTGAATAACATGGAGCAGATTCACAACAACACAGGCGCAGATGACGTCACAGTGATGTCACAGTGACGTCATCTGCAGCAGAATCATTAAAAGGAAACAACAGAATATGATGAGAGACGTAGCAGGGAGACACGCTAACGTTCCCCCAGATGCTAACACGCTAACGTTCCCCCAGATGCTAACACGCTAACGTTCCCCCAGATGCTAACACGCTAACGTTCCCCCAGATGCTAACACGCTAACGTTCCCGTTCCCCCAGATGCTAAACGCTAACGTTCCCCCAGATGCTAACACGCTAACGTTCCCCCAGATGCTAACACGCTAACGTTCCCCCAGATGCTAACAGGCTAACGTTCCCCCAGATGCTAACACGCTAACGTTCCCCCAGATGCTAACACGCTAATGTTCCCCGAGATGATAACACGCTAACGTTCCCTCAGGTGACTCAAGGTCAAGCTCATCTTCACTGATTGGCCGACAAACAGAACTGTATATGTGAGTTAAACTTTCACTCTTGTCGTGGACATGGTTGGCTAAAGGTGGGGGGGAGGGGGGTCAGAAGAGTCCTGTGGGTGTTGGTAATGTCTACAGTCTCACCACTAGATGGCATGTTTTACAAATGTATGAACTTGTGCTCCTCACCTCCTCCTGTACTCCTCTCGCTCCCTCTTCACTTTGCCCAGGACGTTGTACAGCGCTCTGACCTCCGGGGTGATGGTGTCGATCTGGACCCCGATCCCATCTGGACATGGCCACAACATTCCCGCTCTGGGAAGGCAGGAGTCACGGCCGGTGCCAAACCTAGGGCTGGTGTCGAAGGTCCACTGGTTACCAGGGAGGAAGCGCGGAGGGGGGGGGGGC